GCATTCCTGTGATACAACCTTGTCCAGTATTGCAATGATGTATAAAGTTTTGTACATACAAGATTCAGAGCTTTTTAACTTTTAATATTTATTAATTTTGTTGGGTTCACTTTTTTCTTTTTTTTTTTTTTTAACTCTAACATAATATTAAAAAAAAAAAAATCCACATCACAATCTCTTTCTGTTGATTTATTTGGGGGAATGGAGGGGTGTGTTTGTCGAAATGGATTTTGCAGGGTGAGCCACCACCTCTTTATTTCAACCCAGCCACTCCTCTTTACCAGCCAGTCTCACATAGCTGTTTTGAGGCGATCCCCCTGCCCCAAAATAAGACAAAGACCCAGCAAAACCCACGGATGTATAAGTTACAAGCACGCTGCAATGGCTCTAATAACATTTCATGACACCCAGCTGCTCGGCTTCGCTCTTGCAAGGCCTGTTTCTAGTTCTGGTTGGCAGCAGCTTTACAGCACAACACGCTCGTTCCCAGGGCTGCAGGATAATGTCGGGATCACCGGACTGGCTGTCCCTGCAAAGGGCTGTGGGTGTGGGATGGCTGGCGATCTCCCGGGAATCCTCCTAGGTCAAAACCCACAGAGGGATTTATCGTGCTGCAGGTCTGCAGTGACAAGCTCCCTTGGATGCATGGTTCCCAAGGGTGTGATGCTGCATTACTGGTGAGGCCACACCTGGAATACTGTGCCCAGTTTTGGGCCCCTCAGTACAAGAAGGACATTGAGGTGTTGGAGCATGTCCAGAGAAGGGCAACGGAGCTGGGGAAGGGTCTCGACCACAGGGCTGATGAGGAGCGGCTGAGGGAACTGGGGTTGTTCAGCCTGGAGAACAGGAAGCTGAGGGGAGACCTTATCACTCTCTACAACTACCTGAAAGGAGGTTGTAGTGAGGGGGGTGCTGGTCTCTTCTCCCAAGTAGTTAGTGATAGGATGAGAGGAAACGGGCTGAAGTTGCGCCAGGGGAGGTTTACATTGGATATTAGGAAAAATTTCTTCATGGAAGGAGTATTCAAGCATTGGACCAGGCTGCCCAGAGAGGTGGTGGAGTCACCATCCCTGGAGGGGTTCAAAAAATGGGCAGACGTGGCACTTTGGGACATGGGTTAGTGGGCATGGTGGTGTTGGATCTTAGAGGTCCTTTCCAACCTTAAGGATTCCTAGTTTTTACTTTCATTAAAAACTAATCCAGCCACCAAGCCAGGAAACATGAAATTAATTCTTACTCTCCCCTTAATTGGTTTAGTGGTAGACTTGGTAGTGTGAGGTTAATGGTTGGACTGGATGATCTGAAAGGTCTTTTCCAACCTGAACGATTCCATGATTCTATGATTACAGGGTCACTGGGCTGAGTCCAACCCTGCTGCCTGTCCCCATTAGCTGCTTTCTCACTTGCCTTGCCACCCCCTTCCACGCTGCAGCACCCGAAGTCAATTGAAGCGATGGTGGAAAGCACATGTCTGACTCCCTGGGACGTGGCTTTAGTGCCACTGCTCTGACTGTGCCTGCTGCTGTTGGCATAGCAGGAGAAAAACCTATATCTGTATACATATATACACCCATAAATATATAGCTTCCAAAATAAATAAAGATGCGTTGCCAGTTCAGGCCAAGAAGAGCCCCTGAGCTTGCACTGACAACTGATGCCAAGAATAAAGAGCGAAGATAACTGGGGCAGGGCTGAAGCCGCAGACTAAACGGCACCGTGGGCAGCGATGCCCGGCCTCAGGCTGCATTTTGGCAGCCACCCCCTTCCCCTGCACACGGCGGGGAGGAGCGATGCCCAACACCAGCTACCATTGCTGCTCGTGGGCGAGGTTCGGGGAAGGGTTTTTAGGCAACCCCTAATGCGAGGCTTGCTGCTGCCTCAGTCACCCCAGCTGGCAGACACTCCACTCCATCCCCGAAGCAGAAGCACGGTGCTGGGTGAAGGGTGTCCCCTACGCTCGGTGGGGGCACCGCCTCGCCCCATCGCTGGCGGCAGTGAGCAGGGGCAGGTCTTCGGCTCGGGCCATGCCCCTCGCGCTCGGGCAGAGCCCGTCCTCCCACAGCTCAAGGGCACGCAGCGGCAGAGAGGTGCCGGCGGAGGTGCTTGATGAAGTCTGCTTGGGACTGCGGCAGGATGCGGTTAGCAACAGACGCAGGGATCCAGCCCTTTGGGAGAGAAACCCCCCGAATTTGGTCCCGCCAGGTCAAAGCGAGCTGGGGTCCCCATCCCGGGGAGGAAGGTGCATTTGCAGG